GATATACCCACTCGTTGTGAAGGCGTTGCAGGTCGCTGGAAGGGAGAAAGATGACGGAGAGGTTCTCCAGGTTCTTGGGGCGGTTTTAGATCAGGTCAGCAACCATGTTTAATTCATATACTTTGCATTAGATCATTTCACGAATATCACGATCGCGCATATTTCCATATATAAGCATTTGAGGAAAGCGAGTGTTGAATCCTCAATGATCATTGGGCATGGAGAGCTACATTACTTAGGGAATCAATTATTGACCGTCAGTTTTTACAGGGTAAATTTATCTGATGGCAAGGATCCATAAAGAGCACAGGGTACAGATACAGATTCAAATAGGGTATATGTACGGAGTAGAAGATGTAGCCTAATTTCAACAACTTCCATGAAATAGCAACGTTAAGAGAGAGCCATGCGACAGAGACAGCCTACAGGCTAAGCCGCAGGGGCGGATACTTTCTGAGTGTGATATGATTCACGTCCAGGTCCAGCCGTGGCTGAGCCTTCTGGTAGGGGCTGTTGCTGCTTCTGTTCCTGAAGGAGCTGCTGCTGCTGAATCTGTTGCTGTTGAGCGATTTGAGGGGTCGCTGCGATCTCGGGAGCTTGTCTGTAGAGAGTAATCTCAGATTGCTTGAAGTACCGACGGGCATCTAGACACAAGGAGGTGTGTAGGTCAGTACGATATCAAACAGCGTGGGATGTAGAAAAGAAAAAAACAGATGGGTTTCGAAACAAAAACACATGAAATGACGAAAACCGGGGGCCTAGTGGGGCCGCCACGCGAGGTCTCAACCAAGTGTGGCTTAGCGTGGGGGGTCTTTGCGGTTCGGAAAGGAACCTCAGGTCAGCCGGCCCGAATGGCCACCAGGTTTCAATAGCCGGTCGGCTATTGAAATGTTCAGTGGGATGCCGTGGGATCTTGGGCAGTGTGACCATATGGAAACCTCAGGTAACAATGCAGGTAGCAAACAAGGCTGTGATAATGGTCATGCGCTTTCCAAGTCGCACGGACTGGCAGTTGTCATTCGCCATAGAGAATCGAGGACAAATTTCATGCCCTTGGAAATGACGAAAACATTCGAACAAGCAAGCGCATCTTTTTCTGCTTACCTTCATCAATCAGCACCAGGCTCAGATAGTATCTTGTGGAGTACTTTTTGTTGACATCACGGAAGGTAGGCGTCAGGTCGAAACCACCCAGGAACAAACGAATAGGGATTGTCTCGCCTGGCCAGGGTCAGCAGGGAACTCTTCCTATTTGTTAAAGAACGTATATTGCTCTTTGTGGGGCGCCAGCAGCGTGGCAGGAAGCAATTTCAGTCAGTCGTGACTCACCTCGCGAGGGCGACCCATCCATAATCTATCAGCAGAACAACATTAGCAGGCATCCCCCATTTTGTTCCAAAACAACGGGCTGACCTACCTCGAATCGTACCAGCGTCTCGCTCTCGTTGTACTGATTTGGAGGAGAGCCCGTCGTCTCACGTCGAATGATAGATAATTCCATGTGTTTGATCTTCAGTCGCACGAGGAGGAAATAGATACGCCCCACGATGACATCTTTCAGGTGATACTTGGATTTGGAGTATTCAAACTCAATATGCAGGCAGTCTTCGATACCGACATCCATCTTGATCGGGCTGTTGGTTTCCGGGGGCATGCGATAAGAGTAGACCCAGAGATCCTTCTCGCGAATCACATCTGCCATCCGCCTTGAGACCGTCACCCGAACAAAGTACCGCAGCTTCACATTGATACCATTATATGATTCATATTGTTTCTCGACGTTTTTGAAGTTGAAGGGGAAGGTCTGTGGGTGTTGCAGCTCTCCGGGAGCTGCAAGTTCCTGCACCAGCGAGAGAAATTCGTAATGATTCCCTCGATCGTAGAACATCTCTGCTCAGAAAAACGTTTGGTCAATTCAAGTCTCAACCACCAGTGCAGCAAGCGCTGCAGTCTCTAAACGGCAAACTTCCATACCAATCGTGCCAATGAACTGCACCTTGATGCCTGTGTGTTCTAATCGCTTCCCGTCCTTTGGTCGAACCGTAACAGCACCCTTCACCGACTCTCCATCCATGTAAAGGGGGACTCGCTCGCGGCGGCCCTTATCGAGCTTCACGTCCACTGTCTGGCGTTCATCGCTGTCTTCGAGCACGACGTCAATGTCGACGGGAGTGGAGAAGAAGAGGGAAGTCATTTTGGAGGCCGGGTGGTAGGCTTAGGAGGGTTAAACTCGATTGGAACTCGTGCACACGTAAAGTTCTTGCAGTCAAATCAGATGATATCACACAATTGCCATGCCGATTAGCTCCGCTCAAGCTTCCATCTGGGTTGTTGACCACATAAGGCGATCCACGACTGCCTGACGGTTAGCCTGGCATAACGTGATTACGTAATGTCCCAGCGGCATAACACTAGTAAGGTAGACATTCTATCAACAGCTCCTTCTCTACTATTTGTGGATTTCGTAGGTTAGTTTAACGACATACGAGTCACTCTCACTATGAGGCTGAAAATATGAAGCAATCAGGCATCTCTAGTGTTAGGAGGAGTCGTGACATACTACTAGGTTATTACGCGCGCTGCAGATGCAGACCAATGGACAGCATACTTGCTCATGTCATGTTCGGGATAAGATGGTTCAAGAGCAATCTATCAGGATCCAAGATGGAGAATAATAATGAGTGCAGTGTGCCATGTCTTGAGCAGTTCAAAATACATAAGTACGAGTACCTATGTATCAGTGTTGCTCCTGCATCCCGCCAGTCGTTGCGAAATATATTTTTGCGAAAGCAAGGGTAATGATACTACAACGGATTATTCAAATGGACTTTTGTACTATTTGGAATCTTCAAACATAGAGAACGCGGAAAACAATGCAGTTTCCGACAATTTCGACACGTCTTTGTTCTGAGCTTGGTTGGACCAGCGGATTTGGGCAGAAATCCAACAGCGTATCAGTAGGCAATTGGAAACGCATTTCCGCAACCTCTCTTTCACGAAATGTATTGTCCTCGGAGGTTGAGACCTGAGTCTCCTGATACCTGATACCTGCCAAGTTCCCAGTTCCAACAAGGTTTAGATGAATACTCAATGCTAGGAACTTGGGGATGTTCCCCGACGAATTGTTTGCATGCAAGCTGGCGGATTTCCCCGGATTGAGCCACGTCCCCCTGCAAGCCACAAGCACGCAAATTGAATCAATTTAGGCGGTGTGGGCCACATGGCAGGTAACTATGAGGTGCTGCTGTCAAAACTCGAAGCCAATATACGACTTTGACTGTTGAGTGTTTGAGTGTTGACAGCTTGAAGAAAAGACGGTCTATTCGGGCTTTCAGGTTCGTTCTTTTGAGCCGTAACCCTTGTTTGGAAGATGTTTGTCTGCCTGAGCACCCATTCAGGCCTGAGACGCCAAAGTACCTCTAGAGTGCGGAATAGTCCGTCCATAATGCACTCATTATTGCTTTCCCCTTGTTTCCCTTTGTCCATGGGATCAAACATTAGTGGATTGAGGTGTTATACAGCCATGCTGTATCACCAAGGGTGAGTTAGAAGTGAACGAGCAACTCATTTACAATGTACCCCGTATAGCTGGGGATAAATTCTTGCACCTTGATTGAAACATCCCACTTTTGCTGTTGATGGTATTGAAGATCTCGTGGGGGATATTTCAGAATATTTCAGATCACAGAGGAAGAACCGTGCTCCATTCACGTCTTACATCAATTACCACCAACATCGAAGAACTGCTGGTCAGTAGATAGATAATAGATGGACATTAGACAGGCCTCTATTCCTGTCCGTCCATTCAAGCCACAGCTTCCTGGTACCTGGTCCACGGAGATCATCTCTGAGTTCTTCCTGTGAGTTTCATCTGCATTCCGCGTCCTTTGAAGTTTGAACTGTATGATCTTCCCTTGAATTTAAAGGAATGAATGAAAATAACATAGGAAAATTGCTTTCCCTGTATATAGCCTACCTATTGTGGTATAGTGTGGGGGTTTCTGATGGGTGTATTGTAACTAGCTTGTAATTGTATCAGTCCCGGATCCCCGGTGCAGGACAACCTTCTTTTGTACCCGTGACATCATGAAAAGATGGGATGACATGAGAGATAACTCCGTACGTATTGATGCTCAAACACAAGGATACCGTGTTACTTCTTGAGTATGGTGATACAAAATCTATTCAGCTGCTTCAAATTTGGGAATTATTCCGGATTGTGCCTTGTCCTTTACTCTTTCTAATTCTGCTATCTTGAGTCTCCTCAAATGGCTAGAAAATGAGATCTGATCTCCCACTAATGACCAAACCAGCGGACCCCCTTTCTTCTCGAATGCCCCCCACTTGTCGAATGTTTCGCTGTTTTCGCAATTCTCCCCCACTCGGCTGTAATATTCTTTCACCATACAGTCCTTACCTCATCCTACGGAGAAACCGCTGTAGAAGCTGTTCGGATGCTCCAGTCAAAAGCCGTAGGAAAATTCCTGTTACGTCTGCATGATTCGAGATTTTTGAAACTTCAACTTGAAAGAAAATCATAGGTCCAGTTTTCCCTACAGAATCGGCTTTTGATAAGGTACCTACCTTACCTAGGTATGGAAGTCCCCACAGACCCAGGTTTCATACTTAATATCCGTCTGCTGGATTTCTTCCTTTTTATTTAGCCATTACTCCCCTGTCTCTTCCCTTCTTCCTCTTCTTACCTGAATGAATAGACTACTGTTATTATTTCCTTTGATTGCAAGTGCTGTTCATCCTTCTGGTTTGCTGCGTTCCACCTAGTTCAAAGAACTCAAGACACAAAAGCGTCGCCTTCTATATACTTCCACCGACCTCAACAAATGCACCTCGCAAAAGTTGGTTGAACCATCCGGCACCACCCACCGAGTTCCGTGTATCACTAGAGCGTCATACCCTTTGTTCACTCTGCGGCCAATCTTTCTCGTGCCGTTGCTTCCTCTTTCTGTTTGAGCCGTCCCTCTTCTTTTGTTCTATACACCATGCTCTCTGCCGGGGAAAGGCCTCAGCCGCCTATAAATACCAAAGCGGTTGTAGATGCCTCTCGGACACCAGTCACCAAAGTTTCTCTAAATCACAACTCGGCCACCTCAATGCGGTCAGAGACTTCCAAAGCCGAGAACATCCAACATATCTGGATCATCACCGGGCCTGCGGGTTGCGGGAAAAGTACCATTGGACACGCGCTCGAGAAGGAGCTGGGTCTGCCCTTCCTCGAAGGAGATGATGTAAGTACTCATCTACCTGATATTCTGTCTATGCACAAGTCGAGCTAACAAGCACCCACACAGTTCCACACGCAATCCAACCGTGAGAAAATGGGCGATGGCATCCCTCTAACCGACGAAGACCGCTGGGACTGGCTCATCTCCTTGCGCGAAGCCGCCATCGAGGCTCTCTCTCCCTCGCAAGCCAACAACTTCCACCCCTCGTCCGGCGTCGTGGTCGCCTGCTCCGCCCTCAAGCAGAAATACCGAGACGTCATGCGCGTCGCCGCCTACGGCTCCCCCTCCGTCCAGATCCACTTCATTTATCTCAAGCTGGACAAGGACGTCCTGGTCAAGCGCCTCGAGCAGCGCGATTCCCACTATATGAAGAGCGGCATGGTCCAGTCGCAACTGCAGGCTCTCGAAGAACCCCAGGGCGAATGGGATGCGCTGACCGTCAACGCTGATGGCCCTCGGGACGAGGTTCAGAAGACGGTTCTTCAGTTGGTGTCGGAGAAGCTGGCGGAGTACCAGTAACTTCGCTGTCGGATTCTTCCGGGTTTTTTCTTGTCTGCTTGCTTCATGATTTTGCTGCTTTTGGCTGGGTTCAATTGCACGGATTGCATGGATGGCTTGCGCCGTCCGGTGTCTTTGGAGTTTAGAGCTGCCTACTTGTGCTTTTGGAAGCATCATGATCTGTCCTTGTCTATGGAGTCCGCATCATATCCTGGAGTTGCCATCGGTTCGATCTTATGTTATGTCATGCTGATCTGTCTGCTGTTATGATACACGTGCACGCATGGGGTTCCCTGCGTTAGACATAGCTGATACCTTGACTAGAAAGAGGATTGCCTTGTTTTCTACATCCTAACTCCATTCACAGTGTTCTACATGATGGTACTAGCGGTTGATGCTTGGAGTTCACAGTAGCATAAATGACGTCATCGTGTCTGATCATCACTCGAAGATCAGATTCAGAGCTAATGATAGCTGGGCCATGCATTGATACTTCCGTTGAAGCCACCTTACGGCTACGGTTCACGTCCGTACAAGTCAATTGACACATTCATATTGTCCGGAATGCTTCATAACCTGCTGGTTTCGTTCGTCCATCTAGTCAAACAAACATTCGTTCCTCTCAGCGATGTATCGCCTTCCACGAAGGGCAGTGCACGGAAGAAGACGCTGATATCAAACAGGATAGACGGCAAGAAGCTAGACGGATAGGCGAGGGATCCTGTAGGGTCGCATCTAGCTACCAAAGAGGCAACATGGCCGACTCAATTTGACCCCCACCTGTCCGTCAATCGTCGTGCCCTTCATCGTCGCCTCCCTCGTCCTCTCCATTGTCCTCTTCATCATCCTCTTCATCATCCGCTACATCCCCTTTCTCATCATTTTCTGCATCCTCTGTCTTGCCCTCGGTTGAGAGATGCTCAAACTGTTCGGTGTAAGGATTGTATTGTAGTGAGCTGTTTTTACAGAGAAATATGATCCAGCTTTCGAACTTCATTCTGCCGTCATCATCTTTCAGATCAATTGGATCTTCTCCGGCAATGAGCTGGACAAGCCGACTGCCAGGATCGAGGTCAGTACACTTGGCAGCGATTTCAACCGTGTATGACTTCGCATTCGAGCAAATCGCAGGCTTGCCCTCACGATGAAAGACATAATAGAACAGTTTGACTTTTGTCGAAAAAGCCACAATGACTGGATGGCCCCATCTCTGGAGCCTAACTCTGCCGCGAGTTTCAAGTGAGGAAAGCTGGCGAATGACATACTGAAGAGTTCGTTCCCACTCTTCTGGAGTTTCGTCACGCTCGTGGCGCAAGAATGCGTGAAGGCCGGTGCACTGGAAGGGCTCCATCCCCAATTCACGGTACCCAGGGGGGAGAAGACAGCGATACAGTCTGTTGCGGAGCATAGTACTGAAGAACCTTGAGTGGGGATCACCAGAGTCTCTCGCTAGCTTGCACAGGTATTTTCCCCAAGCGTTCTCGACAGCACCGAGATACGCATAACTCGGCAGACTGAAAATCAAAACACCATCTCTCTCGTTCTCGGAGAAAGACCAGTTATACTGTTCTCTGCGACATATCAGCTTTACTGCTTTCCTAACAAATGAGATGTACCACTTACCGAGAAGGAACTTCTCCAGTCTCAGACAACATTGGATCTTTCGGTGTCATGTCCGATAATTGAATGGCCACGTCATCCATAATACTGAGTCTGTTTGTATCCGCGACGCCTATAACAGGATTCAATTTGAGTCCATCTGCAGTTGCGCGGCCAAGCCAATTCTCTTGGTACATGCTGAGCTTAGAATGGATCTTCTTCCCCGAGTGCAAGTCTTCTAGGACAAAGGTCTCAGGATCTTCGCCACTCCCAATCACAGCGTAGTCATCGTTCAGTCGGAGCTTGTGCTGGCTTATCTCGTGGCAGAAAGCAGAGGCCTGTGCAAGGGCCAAATATGTATGCATATCCGAAAAGTCCATGATCAAAGACAAGATCTCATTGGGGAATAAAAGAGACCTTGTACCAGCAAGCCCCTCAGCTGCAGCTCCACTGAAGAAGTGACACATTAACATGAACGTGAAATAACCCGCTGCCGCTGGGTCCGCTGATTCGTTTGAAGCAGCATCATCCTCTTCCAGGAATTTTTCTTCCGGCTGGGCGTCGTGATTTAGAGACTCGAAATGAGTCCTGTTATCTGGATTTTCGAGACCCTGCTGGGACTGAGATGGACGAGTGCGAGGCCCGTTAACGTATCCAGAGTCCTTGTCAGTAAACTCGAACAGAGGCATGAGAGGAGATCTCCTGACATATGGCTTTCCATCACGTCCCTTCTGCACGCGGATCAGAACAACGTCTAGAATCGACAGTACCATGGCATAGAACTCTTCGTATCCTTGACCGAGCCCATCATTTACCACCTCTATCACTGATGCTTCTTCGACATCATTCAAATCAAGTCTAGAATTGAGATGAACGAGCACGTTGTGAAACCAGAAGCTAGTGCTCTTTGGTGCTGATCCAGGCTCGATGCCAGGAAGGTGACTCTCATGTAAAAATCGCGGGAGCACCCTCGTATGGTATTTCGGAGCCCTGGAATTTGGAACCAGGTAATAGCCATTTTTCCTGTACTTCGTATCGAGGGCTTCAGGGTGTTCGAAGAACACTTCTCCAGCTGCAAGCGACAGCACGGCGAACGCCATTTCCCTGAACATAAAACAGCCGGGCTCCCACCCAAGGATAAAGCGATCAAGAACCTTCCGATACGCCCTACACATCTGCAAAAACGTGGTCATCAGAAAGGTGATGCGGGCAGGCATCATTCGTCTAACAGGATTGGAAGGCGAGGCGGTCCCCAAGTCCAAGGGGAGCATAGTTTCAGCAGCAAAATCGGTAAGCGAGAGCAGTTCAATGTTGAGAGTCTGGCCCAAAGCCTTTAAGCTGGGATCGATGTTTGGTTTCCAGGAGACATCGGCAATGATGTCCTTGGGTGTATCGTCACGCAGCTTTCTGCGTCCTCGGGCGTCCTCAGTGAGATACTGGATCCATTTTCCCCCGTGGGGTATGTTGGACAGCTTGAAGTATGCGGAATCATCAACAGCGAACATCTCTCGGTCAAGGTCGATGGTGTAAGTCCATTCAATGAAGAGATCATTGGAGAATCTGTTCAAGATTGTCTGAATTGGAGCATATTCAAGCCGGTCATCGACAGCCAGATAACTCTTTGCATGCCGCTCACTTATGCTAAGCTCTTCTTGTTTGTTATTGACATCCACCGTGAGTATCTGTTCTTCGAACTTCTGTGCAGAACGAGAATACATCTCTCTCATTGAATTCAGCCAATCTAGCGAGAAAAGATGTGTCAGTTGGTGTGCACAGCTTCCAGAAGCATGGATAGCATTTCTCTTACCGCGGTAACCCCCCGGATCAGTGGGTATTTCTTGAACGATAGCATCTCCGAGTCCCTCAGGATAGCTGTCAAACTGGTTCCAAATAATGAAGTATCTGCCGCGGCAGCGGATGAAGAGAAGTCCTCTTGTTCCCATCTTGACAGTTGGAGACACTATCAAGGACAGAGACAAAGGCTACGAGGTAAACTGAGGGGTAGACTTCTTCTCACACAGAAGGGACAATGGGACAAAAGGAGTATGAAGTGAAAGGAAGAGAATACCAAGGAGGAAATCAGAGGTAGATGGTGAGATGAGCTACGAGGAGGAGGGGTTGTTGATGCCAGCGCGCGCAGGTTCGAGCAACATAACAAACAAAAGAAAATCCAAAACGCAGAATCCAAAAACATATGACAATTCACTACCATTAATCTTCAGCAAATAAACGACTCTTCATCGAACAGAATAGCAGGACTTGGTGCTGATGGCTCAATCACAGACGCGGAAGCGAAATACCTGTTAACCTTTAATTGCTTTGCCAGTCTATACTATATTTTTAAACTTGGTATCACTGTGATGGAAGAACACCGCGCTTGCTCTATTTCAGGTTCAGAAGCATCAGCTCTGGCGACTCGATAAACTCGCGAACTTTGGTGGCCATTCTCGCCATAGTTGCCCCATCCACAACTCTATGATCTGCACTCCAACTGAAATTCACTAGCTCGCCCTTGGTGACCTGACCAGCATCGTCGAAGATTGGTACTGTTCTTGATTTTCCAACCCCCAGAATAGCCACTTCAGTTGGTACAATCACTGGTCCAACGTAGGTGCCACCGATGTTACCAATGTTTGAGACAGTGATCGTGCCACCACTGAGGTCAGCAGGCGTGAGTTTTCCCTCTCTACCCAGTGCACTTAGACGTGTGATTTCGGATGCTATTTCCATGATTGTCCGGTTCGCGACATCTTTAATGTTCGGGACAATCAACCCCTGTGGAGTGTCCATAGCGACTCCGATGTTATGCTTCGGCCGCATAATCAGTTTGGGCTTTTCAGGATTGCTCAAGTCCACTTTAGCGTTAAGGAGAGGATATTCGTTCAAAGCAAGGGACACAGCCTTGACGACAAATGAAAGGAATGTGACCTTTTTGGGATCTTTGGGGTCAGATGCCAGCTTCTTCCTCAAAGCTGTAATGTCGTTGATCTTGAGCTCATCCGCATAGAGGAAATGCGGGATAGTGAGAGAGCGGGTCATGGTCTTGAACATTTGCGATTGAATCGGTGTCAAGTTAACTGTTGTTTCTGTTTGCTGACTGGCAGGAGCGGCAGGACGCGCTTCAGCTGCAGCATCGCGCATGGCAACAAATTTATTGATGTCTTCTTTAAGGACACGACCATCCTTTCCCGTTCCTTTGACATCAAGAATATCAACATTGTAAGTCTTCAGCAGCCCACGGACTGCTGGGGTAGCGAGAGAGGCATACTTTGACCTTGGGGCTTCAACAGCGGTCTCATTCACCTGTGGAGAGGGCAACGGAGTCGATGTTGTTGGTTGTATAGAAGGAATATCCGCAGTGACGGGAGCTGGCCGCACTTGCTCGGGTTTGGGCTCAGTGGGCGTGTGATCGTCTGGATATTTGCCATCCTCAACCTCTATGTCACAAAGTGCCTGGGAAGAGCATATTGTTAGACACAAATGGTTCTTGTCTCCCAATTGTACATGAACATGCGTACCATTCCTGTGGGGACAGTGTCATCTGCTTGAAAGTGGAGCTTCTTGACTACTCCTTCGTATCTCGAAGTTATCTAGATTTGTAGATTGTCAGGTAGGTAAACAGCGGGATAGTGGAGAATTCGCTCACATCATCGACTGCTTTATCAGACTGATACTGGCACAGTGGCTTCCACTCTTCTATGTGAGCGCCTTCCTCGACATACCACTGAATGATCTGGACTTCGGTGATCCCTGCGTAGAGAATCTGGGTGAGCAATTGAACGATAGACATGAGGGTCGCGTAGGAAAGAGTATACCTTCGCCCACATCCTTTAGTATTTGCGATTTTACACCCAACAGAGGTAGTCCAGCGTGGAATTTCCGTCGAGGTATTGATATTTTTGACGAGGGGGTGATTGGGATGACTCTCTGAAGCCGAGAGGACCTGAGAGCCCCCAGAACACCTCTGTTACAGCGTAAAAAGCTCATAGTTGATTACGAAGCGACTGAGGAGTAAGAATATACAAAGAGGATGTTTTCCAAAGGAGAAAACCGCGAGGCATCATGGAATTGTCCCTATTAGTAGGAGGAGGACTACACAGGGTCTCTCCGCATTATTGCTTCCTATCGCCGATAGTAACCGAGGACAGCGTCACCCCACGTGATTTTACTCCGCATTATCAATCGTGTAGCTCCGTAGTTCGGTCCGTCTCTTCATCCGGACTCGATTACTGTGAGCTTCAAGAGACTTAAGGTACCTTGATCAACAGCTTCTATATTTCCTCCTTGTACGAGCGAAAGACTGTGACAGAATTGAATTTGATTGGAACTTGCAAGTCCGATGGTTTGGGTTCAAGTTTCCTTCATCGACTAAAGTACATCGACAACCAACATTCACTGAGTGCTCGTTTGATATGGAGCAAGGCATACTTGATCATCAAGTGATACTTTCTGCAATTAAATCCACATAAAGGTCACTCGCCATCATCGAGCAGAGCGATCGAGAATTCAAGAATAACAACAATGGTGATGTTCATGGTCGAAATTTTCATCTCTACAGAGTACTAAGTTCCTTTCCATTCCGTTTTCAATTTGGTGACACCCCACCATTATTACCTACTATTATCTCAGCCCTGTGGAACTCAGTAGCAAACAACGGAACAATCACTATCGTGTCGCCTAAGTATGCTGTGATCGAGGGGTCTCTGGATGTCTGACTTTAATGGCAGTGAAGTTGCTATCTGTTCCATAATGCTCACTCTCCAGCTCAAAATGCCCTTCAGGTATCCGGTAAAGGTACATGTTGTCCGGGTACACTATTGATGTGGCTCGGAGATGAGCGAGATCTCATTGCGGAGGATCGAACCATCATTGGTGCAACCCAATATCCAGTCTTGTCTCGGCCAAGCATCCTCCCTGAGGTTTAAAAAGACCAGGCGGCAGTATTCTCCCTCCCTGCTAGTTCTCCGATCCATCTGGTTCATATTTTGCATTTCAAGAGTGGCTGCCTCTGTAGTCGATAGACCGTTCAATTGAGCACCAACTTGCTGCACACAATGGTAGCCGAACATTTGACGATTCGCAACCTCACCACAACCCCGATAACCCTCAAGCTCATTGAGCGTTTTCACCCCCATAAGGATCCTCGAGATGACATGCAATTCTTGGCCAGGAATTTCACTCGAATCCTAAGCAATGTCACTCGCACCAATGAGACCGTCGCCGCGATTACTGATGATAATGAACCATTTGCTCGCGATGAGGTTGACATTCATGTGGAACCTTTCAAGACAGTTCAGACCGAACTGCGTACGTTCATTGATTCGGACAAAGAGCGCCTGCGCTGGATCTTCGAAGCCGAGGGAGAGCGTCATCAAATTCAGACGCCGGTTCCTACGACGGAGTCTGCCGGCATGAAGGCGTTGTGCGATAATCCTCGATTTGGCTTCACTGGCGTTTACGTGACTCCTGAATCCCATCTTGCAATCTACTCCTCAGCCAAACTGCACGCATGGATGGGAGAGCTCCAAGATAGCACATTGCTCTCTTCGCTGTCCATTCCAGGAACACACAATTCTCCTACGTGCCATGTTGCGGCCCCATCTGTTCGTTGCCAAGCGGTCAGTCCACGCGAACAGCTCCGAAATGGTGTTCGCTTCTTCGACATCCGCGTGCAGCCTCAGTATCCTGAAGACCCTTCCAAGGACGAGCTTATCCTAGTGCACAGCGTGTTCCCCATCTCCTTGACGGGCAACAAGTACTTTCGCGATCTGATGCGCGAGGTCAATGAGTTCCTCGACCAAAATCCATCTGAGACGCTCATCATCTCTCTAAAGCGAGAAGGCCCAGGAAATCATACCGATGAACAACTGAGTCGGATTCTGCGCGACCATTATGCTCGTCCAGGCAGCAGGTGGTACACAGAACCCAAAATCCCTACTCTGGGCGAGGTGCGCGGGAAAGTCGTCCTGCTTCGCCGGTTCAACATCATAGAAGAGCTAAAGAATGAGCACGACGGCCACGGCTGGGGCATCGACGGAAGCGATTGGGCAGATAATACTCCAAGCGCAACTTGCAGCAGTGGTCAACTCTGTATCCAGGACTTCTACGAGGTCCTCGAGACGAAAAACATCGATGTCAAGATCAAATACGTAACGGAACACTGTGATCGCTCCAGCGGGCACTGTTACCCGTTCGGTGCCCTCCCGGATCCCGAAGCTACCGAAGCGCATCCATTTTATATCAATTTCCTCAGTGCAAGCAACTTCTGGAAGGTCGGGACGTGGCCCGAGAAGATTGCAGCGAAGCTAAACCCGGCAACTGTTTACTATCTTTGCCGGAAACACAGCGATAAGGACGGTGACTGGTCGACCGGCGTTCTTGTCACGGACTGGGTCGGCCACGAAGGCGACTGGGACCTTGTGCGGTGCATTGTCGGCATGAACGCTAAGCTGAAGATGAGACAGATGAGACAGGAGCAGGAGCAGGAGCACTCTGACGGCGATGCATGATTTGTGTGCTTTCAGGGGGAAGCAGCCAGTGCTTTTTCTTGAGTCGAGACAGACATGCCAGGCCACTTGAAAAAGGAGATGTAACCAAGATACCACTGTAATGAGCCATGACACAGATTACATAGTCATCATCTGCCAATTAAGAATACATCAGCGAACAAAATCCGCATCCCTACTCCTTGGCGGCGGCTAGCGAGCTGTGCATGAACCAGTCATGGCCACACACTTTATGTTAATAATTCCAGACCACAACCTTAGGGTGTGCTGTGTTCTACTTAAATGAGGGACTAGCCTACAAGAAGGGCAGCCTGGTCATGCAGCTGATCATTTCTCATCAATGTTATCTAGGTTATCATGGCATGTTAGTAATTCAGTCTCATGCATATACCATGTCCTTCAAAGCAGAGCCGTAGGCCAGCAGATTCTCATAATAA